ACCCTCCCCCATACACCTACTTAAAAACAAAGTAAATCAGGGCTGGAGAGATAGCTCAGCAGTTAAGAGCACTGGCTACGGGTCCCAGCACCCACATAGTAGCTAACAACCATCTGTAACTCCAATTACAGGTGATCTGACGTGATCTTCTGGCCTCTGCAGGAATTGAACCCATGCAGTGCACTTACACGCATGCAGGCAAAACACTCATACACATAAAATAAGATAAAATAAAATAAATACAATTTAAAATTAAAGTAAATCTTGCCCTGCATAATGGTGCATGCCTTTAATTCAAGCCCTGGTTACATAGTGAGACCCTATTTTAAAAATAATAAAAAATTTAAAAAGTACACTTCATTCTAAAAGATCTGGAAATACGTGGAATTTGAAGGTAGGGATGCAACTTGTTTCAGAAAATACTGTGATAGGGACAGAAGCTGTTCGGACAGTCTCTGTCTGCAGATCTTGTTCATTCTTTTTGTTCTTTGTCATTTTGCCTACAGTCTGGTTTTGTACATTATTTTCAGACCATGTGGTAGAAAAATATCTGTGGACAGCTCTTTTTTCCCTCCTCTCTTCTCCCCTCCCCTTCTTCTCTCTTCTTTTTCTCCTTCTTCAGGGTCACCTCAAACTGACCAGTCTCCTGCCTTAGCTTCTGGAGTGCTAGGAATACAGGTCTGTACTACCACACCTAGCATCAGCTTCCGATTTCTTAGTATTAACCACTGCAGTCACCTAGAGAAAGACTGGAATTTCTCAGCTCCATTTCAAATTCCTGGGAGATGGCTGCCACTATCTTGGCTCCAGTCAGCTACCTGGAATTGGGGTGGCTTGGTTATGTTGTCTAAGGATCAGGGGTTAGTTTTCAGAAAATATCTGCTTATGCTGCTGGGTTTTTCAATGATGTTTATTTGAGACAGGGTTTCATGTAGCTCAGGCTGGCCTTAAACTCACTATATAGCTAAGGCTGGCCTTGAACTCCTGATCCTTCTGCCTCTACCTCCCAAATGCTGGGATGTAGGCATGTGTAAGCCCTACTCCCCAGCTTTATATGGATGATTTTAAAATGCAGCTTACAATGCATCCTTGGCAAAAATAGATTTGTGTGCGTGTGTGCTTGTGTGTGTGTGTGTGTGTGTGTGTGTGTGTGTTTGCATGTGCGGAGGCCAGAGGTCAATGTCAGGTATCATCCTTCATCACTCTCTATCTTGTTTTTTGAGACATTGGCCTGAAGCTTGACATTTCATCTTGGCTGGCTGGTCAGCAAGTTTGGGGAATCTACCTGTGTCTGCACCCCAGCACTGGGGTTATAGACACCCTACTGTTGCATCTGATCCAAAGCCATTTAGTGAGTGGAAATCAACAATAAAGAGCTAAAAAGTAGGGACTGGAGATATTGACTCAGTGTTAAGAGCACTGGCTGCTCTTTCAGAGGACCAAGTTTGATTCCTAGCACGCATATTGAGTGACTCACAACCACTGGTAACTTCAGCTCCAGGGGATCTGACACCTCTTCTGGCCTCTGTGGGCACCTCCCCCCAACCCCAGCATACATGCACATACATATAAATAAAAATAAATCTTTAAAAATAGAGATAAAAATATCAGTACATATCACGTGGTTGGGAATATTTTATGAAAGTTGTTTCACTTATTAAATATATAAATACATTTGTGGGGGGTAGAAATTAAAACTTATTTTTCAAAATTATTTTTTTATGGGGCTGGAGAGATGGCTCAGTGGTTAAGAACACTGGTTGTTCTTGAAGAAAACCTGGGTTTGAACCCCAGCACCCACGTGGCAGCTAACAACTGTCCATAACTCCAGTTCTAGGGGATCCAACAGCCTCTTCTGTCCTCCTTGGGCAGGCATTGCATGACACAGGTGCACTTACCTACACGCAGGCAATACACACATACACATAAAAATAAAATATTTTTTAAAAATTATTTTTTATTTTATGTGTATGAGTGTATTGCCTGTGTGTAGGTAAGTGTACCTGTCACATAATGCCCGACAAGGTCAGAAGAGGGTGTTAGATTCTCCTGGAACTGGAATTACAGATGGTCGTTAGCTACCACGTGGGTGCTGGGAATCGAATCCAGGTCCTCTGCAAGAGCAGCCAGTGCTCTTAACCACTGAGCCATCTCTCCAGTCCTAGTTTAGTAACTTATGGGCCAACGTCTGAGAAACCCTGGGCTGGACAACTTGGTAGGATTCTGCCATAGGGTTGGAATAATCTTCATTCTTTATTATTTTTATTTTATGTATATGTGTGTATTGCCTGCATGTAGGTAAGTGAACCTATGTCATGCAATGCCCACAGAGGACAGAAGAGGCTGTCGAATCCCCTGGAACTGGAGTTACAGACAGTTGTTAGCTGCCATGTGGGTGCTGGGATTTGAACCTGGGTCTTCTTCAAGAACAGCCAGTGTTTTTAACCACTGAGCCATTTCTCCGGTCCATAATCTTCATTCTTAAAACAATCCCTCTAATAAATGCAGAGGTGTCATGAGTATTTATTTATCTTTATTTTATGTGTATGAATGTTTTGTCTGCTTATATGTAAGTACACCTGTGTCATACAATGCCCACAGAGGCCCAAAAAAGGCATCAGATCCCCTGGAACTGGAGTTAAGGACTGTTGTTAGACATCATGTGGGAGCTGGGATTGAACCTACGTCCTCTGCAAGAGCAGCCAGAGCTCTTAACCATTGAACCATCTCTCTAGCCTCATGAGTATTTTTAATAGCATTTTATTGTTATTATTATTTTATGTGTATGAGTGTATTGCCTGCATGTAAATGTACCGATGTCATGCAATGCCTGAGGAGGTCAGAAGAAGGCATCAGATTCCCCTGGAATTGTTACAGATGGTTGTTAGCCACCATATGGGTGCTGGGAATCGAACCTGGGTTCTCTGTAAGAGCAGTCAGCGCTCTTAACTGCTGAGCCATCTCTCTAGCCCCAAGTATTTTTAATAGCATTAAAAAAAGATTTTATTTAGTAACACAGTAAGGGAAAGAACTCCATTCTTATTTAAAAACATTTAAATTTATTATTATTGTGTTTGTATCATGTGTATATGTGTGTGTATATACATGCCATGATGCCTATGTGGAGGTCAGAGGATAACTTGCAGGAGTTAACCCTCTCCTTTCACTTTTGCAAAGGTTCTGGAGATCAAATTCAGGTTGTCAGGATTGGCAGCAAATATCTTTACCTAGTGAGCCATATTGCCACCCCCTAATAGCAGTTCGTAATATAAACAAATGAAATAAGGCTGAAGCTAAACACTTGCCATTAACAGGAAATATTGCAAGTGTGAAGACAATGTGGTACAAATGTACAGCTTGAAAAGTTTGGCAGGGGTGGGGCAGTGAGATGGCTCAGTGGAGAGACATGCTTGCATGTAGGCCTGATGGCTTCACACACACACTAAAATTTTAAATAGACACCTTTGATGTGTATGTGTATGTGTGTGTGTGTGTGTGTGTGTGTATGTGTGTGTGTGTAGGACAGAGGTCAATGCTCAATGCTGTTCCTAGGAGCTGTTTGCTTTTTGACCTAGGGTCCCTCACTAGCCTGAAACTCATCTATTAGGCTAGGATAGCGGGTCAACAAGCCCCAGGGATCCTCCTGTCTCCACTTCTTTAGTGCTGGGATTATAAGCATGTGCCACCATGCCCAGCTTTTTTTTTTTTTTTCAATATGGGTTCTGGTATTGAACTCAGATGGTCATGCTTGCACAGTAAGTGTTTTACCAACTGAAGTATCTCCCCAGTTCACACAGTTCCTTGATAATCTGGGATCCCAGTGCTTGATAAAAAATTTCAAATCTGGGATCTATTTAATCAGATTTTTTCACTCTGTAACCTGTAAAGCTATATTTAAACACAAAATAAAGCAAAACAAAAAGAGCACAAATACATCTGATACTTAGGTTTGGGAATCACTATGTACAGAGGAGGACTCATCTGTATGCCTTTCAAATAATTCTTCCTACCTGTGTTTTTCCTTAACTAGGCTTTTGTTAGGTATGAGAAATTTGGAGTTATTTTTTGGAGTGTCTGCAGTGTAACAGGCTTCCCAGCCACTTAGTAAAGGCAGATCTGTATACTTCACAGTTCAATGATGGCAGAGTTCATCTTCTGACATTTTGGCAGAACACTCACACTTGTATGGATGGATGGTCATTTCATTTTCCCCTGGGGGGCAGGGCTGGGCTGTGTGCAGGCTCTTCCAGACTCTTGTTAGACAACAGTTGAGTAATTTAAAATATTTATTATTTATTTATTATTATTTATTTATTGCGCACATAGGTCACATCTGTGTGGGTGCTCATGGAGGCCAGAAGAGGGATCTGATCCCTCGGAGCTGGAGTAGGGAAGTAGTAGAGTGGTAGTTGTGAGCTGCCTGGGTACTCTGGAAGGGCAGGAAGCACTCTTAACCACTGAGACATCTCTTTAGCTCCTGTTCTAAACTTTTCCAGAATATGTCTAAGATTCCAAAGTTCTACAGTATAGGATATGGTCAGGATGGGTAGTTGTTGATAATTTCAGTTTTGAGAAAAAGCTTCTCTGAAGCACAAATAATTGGCAACATTTTGAATTTTTTTTCGACCTAGGGGTACAGGATGAACTTAATTGCCAAATGTACACCTGTAAACAATAAAATGAATCACACTGCTGTGCTGCTATTGGCTATCAATCAGCTTAATTTTAGAGGACATCTGCCTTGAATAATTACACTGGTCCAAGGAGGGTTGGATTTCTTGCCCACAGCTGCTTGGGCGCAGGATCCTGCCCACAGAAGCCGTTCCCAGTTCAGGTCCACTGAAGATTAGCGTACAGCTGGGGCAGTGTCTGCAGCAGGGGACGTGCATTGAGATGGACCTTCAGAGGTTTGTGACAAGTCTTGAGAGGTGTCCTTTGATTCGCCGGGAGCCTTCTCAGCCTTCCCGCAGGGACGAAGTCCGTCCTCCCAGCAGGGATCCTCAGAGCACCCGGCAGCCATCGCCACGCTGGAGCAGCTCCAGCTCGGGCTGGCTGGGCGGCCTGGGCGCTGACTGAGAACAAACTAGTTTGGAATGCCGTCACTATGGCGACAGCACTGTGGAAAAGCGTTCGTTTTCGCTAACGTGGGTGCTTCTCCGGGCGGTCCCTCGGGCTCGCGGGGACTGGGCTCTGTTGCGGCCCGCGCCCTACTCCCCGGCGCCGCGCGTTCGCCGTCGCGCTTTGTCCCGGCGCGGCCCCCGTCCGCCTCCCGGGTCTCCTCTGCCCGCCTGAGACAAGTTAGGCTCGTCCGGGTGCTGAGTGAAGGGCTGGGTGACCGCGGGCGAGGAGCGTGTCCGACAGGAGCAGCCTGCTCGCCACCCCGGTGAGTGGCAGCCCAGGGGGTCCGCCCCGACGGGGATGGGTGGGAGGGCGGACTCAACCAGCCAGCGCCGTTGCCATGGCGACCGAGGAGCAAACGGGCCTCAGGGCCTCCTGCTGCGGTCACCCCAGTCCTAACTGGGAGTCTCCCGGGCAGCAGTTGGGATTCCCACCCCCCCACCCTCTTCTAGCCTCTGTGAGTGTGGGAACAGACATGCACACCCCCACACGTGCGCATACCTGCCACATATATTGTGTATATGTGTATACATATACCACACTCATACACACACACACACACACACACACACACACACACACACACACGCCCGCGCGAGCACAAGAGCTGAACAATATAATGTCTCATAAAAATCTACAAGATGACTACAAAGGCTGATGCTCATGTCATCTTCACGCCTCACTGAAGAAGGAAGAGTCAGAGAGTTGCACTATGGGGGGCAATGAGGAAGCCTTTCTGAAGTGTCTGCCAGACATTATAAACCTGTGCAAAATCTCATCTTTATTGGGAGAGACTTGGAGAAGTGGCTTTTGAAAGAGAAGAGGTGATCCCTGAGGTGTTTTCTACTTCTGTATACCTGGTGATTTTTGTGGTGTTTCACACACATACTGAGAAAGAATGCCCTTGTTTTTGGAGACTTAAATGGAAACTGTGACAAAATTAATTGCTGCTGTTCTGGTGTACTTTAGGACATTGTATTAATCACTTTTCTGTTGCTGTGTTTGTTTCTTATGTAACACAGGGCGCCTGCCCAGGGGTGGCACCACCCATAGTAGGCTGAATTAATACAGTAGGCTGGGCCCTCCCACATCACTCAACAATCAAGAAGATGCCCCCACAGACATGGCCACAGGCCAGTCCAATAGAAGAAATTACCCAATTGAGGCTCCCTCAACCCAGATGTGTCAAGTTGACACTAAAGCTATCCAGCACAATTGGCTCTTTGTTAACTTGACACACAAACACATCACTATTAAACCATAATCTTTCCAATTCTTATCCCCAAGATATGATGTTAACATTATTATCACAACATAAGGCAGTACAACCTTAAAAGCCCCACAGTCCTTAAAAAATTCCCAACACTTAAAAGTCCACAGTCTCTTTTAAAAGTCTCTTAACTGGGGCTCCTGTAAAAGCCAAAACAAGTACTGTCTTATTTCAAAGGGAAGAATTGGGCACACCTAAACAAAACCAAAGTCTCTGCTCTCTGTGACCCCTTCACATTTTCAACACCAGAACCATGCAGGGTACTCTTACACATTACCAAGTCCTGCTTCCAGTTAGAGATGGAGGCTCAGGCCCCCTCTCGACCACAGCTTCTGTGTGCAGACCTTGAGGAAATACTTCCCAGAAGATTTCACCATAGTGATACTTGTCTCTTGTTACTTACAGCTGATTTTTCCACCCCAGCTAACCAGCCAGCATCAATTGTCCCAGTAAAGCAAGTAAAGCAAAGGTTTAACTTCAGGTTCTGGTCTCTTCTTAATCACAGCTGATTCTTCACCCCCAGCTGACCAGAACCCACAGATTCTCAATTCAAAACATCACACTAACAGCCCTGATAGTCTCTGCTTCCCTTTGAAGCTTCACAAACCAGGCTTCCATCATCCACAACTCCTTCAACATAACTGTTCCAAGCTCCACAGCAACAAACTCTAAGCATGCAATGGCTTTTCCAGCCCAAACTTCTAAACGCTTCCACAATCCTCCAATGTCAGGTCTGTCACAGCAGCACCCCACTTCTGGTACCAATTTCTGTCCTAGTTTGGTTCTCCATTGCTGTGACAAAACACTCTGACCACTACCAACTTGGGTTTATTCAGCTTATATCTCCCAGGTCACACAGTTCATCAGGGAGCAAGCCAGTAAGCAGCGTTCCTCCATGGCCTGTGCTTCAGCTCCTGCCTCCAGGTTCCTGCCCTGAGTTCCTACCTTGGACTCCCTGATGAACTGTGATCTGGGAGATATAAGCTGAATAAACCCTTTCTGAATAAACCCAAGTTGGTATTGGTCAGAGTGTTTTGTCACAGCAATGGAGAAACAAACTAGGACACTGACCGAAGAAACTTAGGAAAAGAAGAATTTATCTGACCTTTCGGTTCTTGGGCAATTACAGTCCGTCATGGCAGGGAGGCGTGGTGGCCAGAGATGGCTGAAGCAGAGGCAGAAGCTAAATTCTACGTCTTCAAGCAGGCACAGGAAGCAAGAAAGAAACTGGAGCTCTGGCAAGGCTTAAGAACTCTCTAAGCCCACCTCCAGTGACGTGCTTCCTCTTGGATAGCCACACCTTCTAAATCCTCCCAAAATAGCACCATCATCTGAGGACAAAATGTCCAGATACTTGGAGCCTATGGGGAACATTTTCATTCAAACCACCACAGACGTGTTTGTCTTCCCATCCGAATTCCAGTGCATGTTGATAAGGCTAATTGTATCTTGCTTGGATTTACCTTCAAGGCTCCAGAATTTGAATAGCGGGCACATTGTTGTTAAACTGTATTAATACATCTACTCTAAATTTACCAACTAAATAAGTTGTACAGTGCATAAGAAACAAATCACCTCCCAAATCTCTGCATTTTCATTGACCCAAAGTTGTTTTAAGGCAGGTTTATAGGATGAGGGATGGTGACTTTCATAACTATTTAAAATATCCTTTCTACATATTTTTTTAGACTATATATAATTAACTTTTAAAACAGCCATTGATTTTATATATATATATATATATATATGTATATATGTGACATGAAAGCAGAGGCAAGAGTATTTGGAGACAGGAAGGGGAACAGAGGTGGGGAGGGGGACAAGGAAGTGTGATGGGGGCAAATGCAAGCAAGCATGCAAATATTAGAAGGAACACATTATTTTGTCCACTTATTAAAAAATTAATGGAAATAAAAACGCATTGAAGTACCAGTTTGTATACCCATCAAGATGCAGCATTAAATTAGGATAAAGTAAGAAAAAAAAGTCTTTTAGTGATAAAGATAGGTGTGATTTAAAGATACTGTTAGCATGGAGGCTGGCAAGATGGCTCAGCAGTTAAGAGCACTGACTGTTCTTGCAGAATATCCAGGTTCAAATCCCAGCACCCACATGGCAGCTAACAACTTAACTCCAGTCCCTTAACTCCAGTTCCAGAGGATCTGAAACCCTCTTCTGTCCTCTGTGGGCACTGCACAACATGGGTGCATTTACACACATGCAGGTATAACACTCATACACATAAAATGAAAACAAGTAAATATATTTAAAAAAGATACTGTTAACAGAGTTGGTGATACACATCTGTAATGCCAGCACTTGGGAGGCTGAGGCAGGAGGATTGACAGTTGGAGGCCAGCCTGGGCTAACAGGTGGCTCTGTCCTTCCTGTGGGTCCTGGGGCCCAAACTCAACTCAAGATTGGCAGTAAGCACCTTTACCCATTGAGTGATCTCATTGGCCCTCAGATTTCTTTTTTTAAAATTAAAAATTAACTTATGTATAGCAAAAGTTAATATGCATACATATTAAATAACCCTATAATAGAATGAGTTGATAAGTTTTTTTTCAATGCAAGGACGTTTATACCAAATTTATTTGTAATAGTCAAGAACTACAAACTCTAGATACCATTTTTAATTTTTAATTTTTTTATTGAATTTTTGTGTATTTCATACAGAACATCTTAATCATCTTTATACCTCGTTCCCCATTGGCCCCCTTCTGTACCCTTCCCCCACCACTGGAATTCATACAGTCTATCATTTTTGTTAAGGCCTATCATGTCAAGTTAGTGTCCCCAGACGTCTCTCAGTGTAAGTTCATCCACTGAGGTCTAGTCAGCCTATCTAGAATCCTTCTCTCTGAGAAGATCAGCTCTTCCTCACCTAGCCATAATCAGCTGCCAATAATTCCTTGACTAAGATTGGCGCTTGTTGTCCATTTCCCTAGTTCTGAGCTGTTTTTTTTCTGTTTGAGTTTGCATGGGTCTTGTGCATACTGACACCATATGAGCAGGGTCCCAGGAATCTGTAGGACTCTATTTCCATATGGTCATGCACCTCCTCCCTGGCTCTTACAACCTTTCTTTTCCTTCTTCCAAAATGATGCCAGAGCCTTGGGTGGGTGGATTTTAATATAGGGGTCCTGTCCAAGGCCCACACTCTGCAGACTCTTATTCTCTATATTTTGGCAATTTGTGACCTTTTGTGTTCCTGGCCCTCTGTTGCATGAGGGAAATTCATTGATGAGAACTGAAAGTTGCATTAGTGTTCTATTTATCCATTGTTCTATGTTCCTTGAACCTCAGATGTAGAGGTTGCATTGTAGATATGCCATTTAGGCTTGGGCAGTTCACAGAAAATCTGTGTGTGACCAGTGGTGGAACTCTCTGATAATCTCTGTATGTTGAAAAAGAAGCTTCTTTCATGGATGGTGACTGGGATACTTGTCTGTAATATTTTTCATATAGTAAGAAATTACATTTGTTTAGGGATGTGACAGCCTTGGGGTTTTCTCTAAGATCTGTGACCTCTCCAGCTGTATGTATTTGGGTAGATTTACAGTACCACACCTGAGTTTCCTTCCACTGAGTGTGCTTTAAGTCCACTAAGGTAGCTGTTGATCACCCCCAAGATAAAAGTGCCACTACTGCACCAATGTCCATTGCTGTGCTGGTCATTTGATAAGGTTTTAGGCCTTGAGTCTGGGGCTGGACCATTGATTGATATTCTCCCTTGCATAGTGCTCTCCAAAGCTATGAGCACTAGCCTTCAGGGGAGGTGGCTTCCAGGTCAGTTCTAGCTCCATTGCTTAAATCCTGTGTCTGAAGTATGTCCTGTCTTCAGCAATAGGGTCTTACCTTCAAGTTCTAGGAGACAATCGAGGACTGTGGCAATAACCTGTGTAATTTTGGGAGTCTCTTGGACTACCCTGGTCAACAACTCAAAGGAAGGTTTCTCCTGTCTGGTCCTGTTTCTTGTTATGTAGCCTTCA